GGCCACGGGGGGGCTTTGGGTCTTCTGAGGGGTCTTAAAGTGTTGGGGGGGTGTTGGGTACATGGGGTGTCGTGGGGGGGTCCTGGGTGTCACAAGGAGGGTCCTGGTGCACCTGGGAATGGCATGGGGTTGGGGGGAGAGGGAATATTGTGTTCCCACAGCACCCACGTGTCCCCCCCCCTCTGTTCCCAGCTGCCCCCCCCCCGGCTGCAGGCGCTGCTGGGCCGATGGCGGCAGAAGGTCTTCGCCCTCCTGGTGCAGCTGCGGGTGCAGGATGAGAACCAGAAGGTGCTGAGGGTGCAGGTGGGTCCTCAGGACCCCCGTTGTACCCCCACACACATCCATGGGGGTTGGTGGCACATGAGGGACAGAAGGGACCTGGTGGGGGCCATAGGGTCCTGCTGGGGACATGGAGAGGCACACAAGGAACAACAGGGGACATGTTGGGGTCCTGGCAGGGACATGGAGGGACACAGTGGGGATGATAAGGACTTGGTAGGGACCACAGGTCCTGTTGGGGACGTAGAGGGATACACTGGGGACAATAGGGGCCTGCTGGGGACAGAGAGGGGCACACTGAGAACAACAGGGACCTGCTGGGGACCGTGGGGACATGTTAGGGACATAGAGGGACACACTGGGGGCCATGGGGACCTTTTGGGGACATGGAGGGACACACTGGGGACCCATGGGAGTCTGCTGGGGACATGGGGACACATGGTGTCATGTTAAGGATCCGTTGGGGGCACGGTTTGGGGATGTGGGGACACAGAGACATGGGGGAAGGGGAGGCTGGGGTCGTTTTGGGGACACAGTGGCATTTGTCACAGCACAGGAGGTGACACGGGAACGGGGCCGGGCGGAGGCGGCTGAACAGGCAGTGAGGGGGCTGTGCCATGCAATCACCAGGTATGGGGGCTGGTGGGGGGCGGGGGGGGGGGGGGGGGGGATCCCAGTGTCACCGTCACCGTGTCACAGGTTGGCTGTGGTGGTGACACGGTGTGAGGAGGAGGTGATGGCGGCCATCAGAGCCATGGCTGCACTCAGCGACCGA